AGCACATTTTATGAAGCTGGTGGTTCATCTGTTCCTTCAGGATCCTCTCCTCTCAGGCCTCATCACGAGATTGTCTCTGAGAGACTCGCTCTACATTTGGCCCATGAACAAAGCTCAGTGCCTTCCTCCCGAGCTAAGAGAATATTTATTGAGGAAGGTCACTCAAAAGAGGATGATCCCACCATACCTGGACTTCAAAAACAAATCAGCGTGCTCAATCAGAAAAATATTGAGCTTGATATCAAGGTGGCTGATCTTGAAGCTGAAAAGGCTCAACTCAAAATTCAGGTTGCAGATCTTGAAGCGGATAGAGTTCTAAAAACAAAGCAAATTTCTGATCTGCAAACTCACATGGGAAAGTTGACTGCATGTTACTTTTATTTGAAGGAGAAGCTGAGAGAGGAACTTGGCGACAAGTTCAATTCATGTGTTCGACATCTCAATGCTGGCCAGCCCTCTTCTCAACAAGTTGAAGACCCCCCTGTTGACCCGCCTGCTCAAAGAAGAACTACAATTGTCGATCGATTCGATAAGGAACCAGCTCAAGCACCAAGTGATGTTGCACTCAAACGTGCCATGTTAGCAGCTTCTGGCAAGAAAAAGCAACTTCTCTTCAAGAAATCCTCTGATCAAAATGCTCCTGGAAATAAACCCACTATCACCGTCACTAATCTTGAACAGAAGAAATTTGGTCACAAGTATGGTGATAGATCGGGAATTATGTCATGGGGCTTCCATCACAGGCTTAACATGTGGATCGTAAAGCGCAAAAGAAAAAATGTGGAGTACTACAAAGATTTCCATGATTTCCATTCACGGACAAGAGTGGATCTCTCAGAATTATCCAGTGCTCCCTTTTAAAATCTATCAGGTGATCCAAAGGCTACGCATTTCAAGCTATTCTTGGAGGATCAAGTAAAGAAGGAATTCCCTGGCATGACGACTGTTGAGTCTTTCATCAAAAGGTTCCTTAAAGTGCTGGATCCCAAGACCAACAAGCCCTTTCAGACTGTCATGTGGCCGCCAACAAATCAAGTCAGACAAGTTCCAGTGCTGCAGACCTTCAATGATGGATCTCTCAAAGACATGCATTACTGGGTCTATGATGAAACTACTGCGTCTGCTGTCATCAAGTTCCAAGATGGCTGCTTTCGCCTATACGACAAACAAGACCTACTTCAATTTGGGAGGTGGGATATTCATCATCTGGCCCTGCATCAGATCAAGGTTGCTGAAGACATTTTCGAGCCTGCTGCGAAAGAGTACACAGCAGTTGTTGTCGAGATTATTGCTAAGGAGATGTGGCAAGGGGCAATGGGAGGGTCCGATGTTCTTGTAATTGAGAAAGACTGAGTTACAGCTATCCCCAAACCAAGGGGGAGATTGAAGGGTCCATGTTATGGTTTGGGCTAGGCTTTGGATGTAATAGGTCATTTAGCATTGTATTAGAAGTATTTTGGTATGTTTACGGCCAAGAGCATGTTTACGGCCATGACCATGTTTACGGCCATGACCAGTTTACGGTCAGGTTTTCTTTCCTATATATAGGACCAGTCTGAGTCTGTTAGTAGTTGTTGATTCATAGCAGTTTACGGTCATTCATTGTACCAAACTTTTCATTAATACAAACGTGTGCAAGCTTTGATTCATTCTTCTTCTACTCAATTCTCTTCTTGTTTGATTGTTAGATTGCTTGATCACTAGTTAAGATCCTGTTTCTAGGACCTTACATAATGAACCCTAAAATCATGTTAATGCGGTTTAAATATGAAGGATACCCTAAAAGATCATGGGCTTGGGCTGCAGCCTTCCTTACGGCGTGACCACATACATGTCACGTCGTAACCACATTCACTACAAGAAAAAGACCCTTTTACGACGCGCAAACCACGACACTCATTGATTTATGTTACGTAAAAGAAGAGTGACATTAAAAAAGTGTCATCTCTTCAAAATATTTAAGGATTTAGGTGACGCATTATTGTGTGCCCTTAAATTAGTGTCTCGTGTAAAAAAAATTGAAAACACAGAGGGAACTTTATCTAAAATGTGTGTCCTCGGTGAATGTCGCTTTATGATTTTTTACTCAAAACGCGCGTTCTTAAAAGGGGGAAATGAAATCCTCTTAAAATTCTAAAATTTTTAAACACCCCGCTTCAAGATCTCCCTTCATTCTCTTCTTCCCTTCTCTCTGCAAACCCTAATCACGAGACCATCTCTTCTATACACCTCGACAACTCATATAATCGTTCTATAATTTTTTTTCTTAAAAACTCATGTTCATTCCGGAAGATCACAAAATGGCAACCAACAACTAGGGTTTTTATTTCCCACTTACATATAATCGTGATTTTCATCAAGAGTTTCAAAAACACTTCCCTCACGTAAGCTTTTCTTCTATAATCTCACATCCATCTAGGGTTTTGGCATACTAGAACTCTATTCGAATCATCACACACCAACTATTAAGGGAAGACGTCAAAGCATTCATAGGCCGGATGTAAGTGTGTACAACAGAAGAGGAGGAACCTAAACCCTCAATTCAAGAAGTATTGATTGAGAATTGCAAGTTCAACAACAAATTGAATTCTCAAATCATTTTCATACTCGATTCTCTCTGCAAATTTCATGTGCAAATCAAGTGGAGGCAGTCGATAGCTACCGATGTCTTCCTTTCCATATATCTCCGTTTTACTCACCAAGTTTGTGTAACTTCTGCAACTCCACATTTTTCATCTTCTGTCATTTGATTCGACTCTTTAGCTGATTTCTGATATCAATGATGAAGTTTTTTGCATTATGATGCTTTTGTTCATCAAAGTCCTATGAAATTTTGAAAAATTATATTTCGGTTTACTGATTGTGAGATTTGTGCTCGAGTTAGTTTATTGTTACTAGAGATCATTTTGTGAAGAATCCTTATGGTTCCAATTATCAATTAATAGCAAGAAAAATTAACTTTGGATTTTATATGTGTGTATGTTATCTTTGATTTAACTTTGATTTTTGACCAAATATGTGCATATCAAGTGTTTGATGGAATGGCTGACCGAACTTCATTTCTTATTGTTGCTTTCGGTTACTACTTGGCAGCATGTGGAATCTTCCAGACAACATTTCAATGTTGAAACAACTATAATCTCTCAATCTTCTCAATTGTTTGTAATCTCTCAACATTTGTCTCTTTTTTGTTTAGTTCTAGATATTTTTTTTAACTTGTTAATCATCTGATAATCGTAGCTCCATCAATAGTATAAACTTGTATTAGACAATTATTTCCTTCAGGTTTATAAAGTAGGCCCTTGTTTTAAGGTTTTGAACACTTTATATTAACACTTTTGTTTATCTTTTCAGTTATGAGGAAATCCAAATAATGCACATACCTCCTCCCCATGTTAGTTGTGTGGTGTGGTACTCAAGCTGATGATGTTTTCCCTAAAGCATGACATGGATTGGCGACTACTATTAGAGAGTCAAATGCAGCTTAGGTACTAGTTACTTCCTTTAAATTATACTCTCCTAAAATCTAACCTGGTTCACTCACTATTTCATATCTATAATACTTTCTATATATAAATTTTTTTATAAAAATCTTAGAGACCCTGACTGAGGAGATTGCTATCAGTTAAGAAGGGGGGACACCAGCTTTACCAATAATACCAGAGGAACTACTCTACTGTAACTCCGTAATCAACAAAATGGTTGTTTGGGGATCAAAAGATTTCACAATTCTAACCTGCATTTAAAAAAAAAAGAGTTAACCTAAAGGCACAAGAGAAAAAAAGTTAAATTCAAGTCAACAGAAAGCCGATAAGGGTCTAACTGAAAAATAAAAAAGTGCAGGCAAGCAGGCAGACATCAAGCTTCTCCACCAGCCTTGCAAGGAATAGTTGCCTTCTGTGTCCCTGAGAAACTGTACAAGAATAATATTTCCTAGTATTCATCAAAACTTCCAAAAAAAATATATATTATGTTAATAAAGTAAGTAAATTACCTGAGTGCCCTTGTTTTCTTTTTCTGTTGTTCAAGAGGATCAGCACTTGAAGTTGAACCAAACCTGAAAACACAAATCTGAAACACATAATATATTCATGATTACAAATCCGTAAAGATTTGAAAGCAAGTTTGTTTCTTTCCTTTTAATTTTTTTTTTAATAAAATAAATAAATTAATAATAATAATACAGAGATCATGAACTAAAAAATTGATTATCAAAATATTTTCATAAAACTTAAATATTTTTTACTGTAATCTGTAATCTATAGTAATACGGGTCATGAACTTGATGGAATGTATGACCATCCGGTTTTACCAATGGCAGGAGAAACATGGCAGTTATTGGAAATACAATGCCATTCCAAACTTGCTTCCAAACGTTTCCAAAAACCTAAAAGAGGTTCAAAGCAGCACTAGAGTTGTTCCCTCGACTTCTTTCAATTGTGAATGCTTTAAGTAATCTCCTCTGTGATTCTCAGGTACTCTTTCCCTCTTGTGCACCAAATATCAATATACTTTTTGTTCATATCTTCTACCTGTCCATTGAAAAAATCTACCCAGTTATAGAATTTTCAAAGTAAGAAATTTTTTTAAAGTACAATGCTTTAGTTTTCTGTAAGAAAATTATTAAAGTGCAAGTGTGACCTTTTCTAACTTGTTAAGGCCTTTTGGCGTGTTCGGATTGAGGCGGCTTTTGCTTTAGCTAGCACAACATCCGAGGTATTATACTCGTTTGTATAAATGACTGAAATATCCTTTTTGAGGTTATTACTAGATTTTCTTGATATTGGGCATTGATGCATCATTTACTTTATTGTTCTTCTAGGAAACTGATTGGGGTGGTTTACTGCATCTAATTAAATTTTATAAAATTCGAAGATATGATGAGAAAATTGGACTCCCAAAGTAAGTGTTGCATCCTTTCTCAGTTTTAATAGACATCAAAACAATGTCCAAAGTTTTAATGACTGAAATACCCTTTCCTAAAGGTTAATTTTCTTTTCATGCTTAGGCCAAATGAATTTCATGATTTTGCAGAGTATCTTGTACTCGAGGTAATGCAATGAGGTAGGATGTGTATTGTCAACAATGTCCAAAGTTTTTTTTAAAAACACAACATGCTTTTATAATCATATTGATATTCATACAAGGAACATATTGAAATGACATTTCAGCTTTTTAATACAATTATATTTGTATTATTTATACAATATTATTTATCTAGGCGAAATCATTTATTGAATTTGTTTAACTTTTGTGGATTGTGATGTCTTGACAGGCTATTCCATATGTTGTAGCTTTGGTTAGAGCAATAGATAAGAAGAGCCCTCGTGAAGCTGTTGATTTCATCTTACCACTTTTAAACGTAAATGTTTCTTCCACTATTCCACTCCCACACGTCTTACCATTGCATTATCTGTTTATTATATTTTCAATGTCGTTTTCTTTTTGGGGGTACTTTCAGTACAATGAGAACAATGGGAATCCGTATTCTGATGTTTTCTGGCTTGCTGCATTAGTCCAATCAGTCGGTGAACTTTAATTTGGACAACAGGTTTGTTGGCAATTGGCATGTCTTTATATCGCATATATAAGTTTAAGTTTTATGATAATATTTTGATAATCAAATTTTTAGCTTTTGATTATGCGATATAAAGCACTCTACTTACATTTGAAAATAAGGTTTGTTTCTTTCTATAATCTGTATATATTCAAATCAAACTTAGACTACTGCATATGCATGTGTTTATGATTGTAGTTGTTTGACTATACATGTCCAAATGTTACATTAATTGCTTTTTCTCACATTTTTTTTATCTTACTGTTAATGTATAAATGGTTTTAGAAAGAAGACCATACATACATATATACATACATATATAAAGCTTGAGAGCAACTTCATTTCAGCATGGTCCCACCAGATGAAATCGGTATAAAGTTTGATGACATTGGTGCTCTTGAGGATGTGAAAACTGCATTACATTAACTTGCCATTCTTCCAAAGAAAAGACCCGAGCTTTTATCTCGTGGAAATCTACTCAGGTCTGTATTTTTTATTTTATTTTATTTTATCTTTTGACTTTATGTAGTGTAGCTAAGAAAAGCCTTATGATTTGTTGTCAGCCTTGCAAAGGAATATTTCTTTTTGGGCCTCCTGGGAAAACACTTGTTGCCAAAGCACTTGCAAATGAAGCAGGAGCTAACTTCATCAACATAGATGGTTCCACACTTACATATAAGGTACTCTACTTACATTTGTCCACTCCCAACCCATACATATTTTTTTTTACAGTTCTCTAGTGATATTTTTCCTTGTGTCCTATAATGATTGGCTCCTATCTTGTTTTTTGATATTTATACCATGGTGAATATTCCTTTTAATGTTGTACATGTTTTTTTCTTAGGTCGGGGGTGGCGAAGTTCAATACCATGGTGAGGTTGCAAGGCTGAAAGCTGCCATGAAGATTGTCAAAGGAGAAATTACTCACGGGTTCCTTTTAATGTTGTACATGTTTTGTTTTTCTATGATAAATATTATGCAATATTAGTAATGTATTACATTTACCTATCAAAATATATACTTTTTAAAACATTTAAAATTATGACATACAAAAATGTGTGTCGTCTTTCTTTATGACAGGGGCTTTAATGATACGCAATGCGTGTCCTAAACGTGCGTCGTAAGGTTACGACACGCAAATGCGTGTCATCTTCCTTTATGACAGGGCATTCCTTGACACGCAATGCGTGTCGTAAATGCATGTCGTAATTGTGCGTCGTAAATGCGTGTCGTAAATAGACGACGCGCAAAAGCGTGTCGTCTTTCGTTATGACAGGGTCTTCCTTGACACGCATTTGTGTGTCGTCTGAGCGTTTTACGACACTCATTGCGTGTCGTAAAAGGCTCTTTTTGTAGTAGTGATTCCACATACCTATTCCTCACTTTGGCTTGCCATGTCGTAACCACCCTATGGTCACGTCGTGACACTCGGTTTTCCATAAAAACCAAATTTTTGATTCCTTAATGCCTTAAACCGAACCATTCTGGAAAACTGGTGTTAAATTAACAACTAAAATTCGAAGGAAAAATGTTTCTAGTTATGTAATCGCATCAATTTATACAAAAAATGAAAATATCTTATTTTTAACATATATTCACAAATAAAAACATACAATCGTAAAAAGAATCGACACATACCCAGAAAAAATGAATCTTTTCACTGTAATAAGAAGACATTCTATTAATTAGATGTAGATGTAGTCTGAAACATTGAATTCAAAATTAAATCTAAAACAGTTATTTCAAACACGGGCCCGACATGCTATATATAAGGGAACCATATTACCGGGTCGGATCATTTTACCCGTTTACTCATTTTAAAATTTGGGTTCGGAATAAGCATTTCTGACCAAATGGTTACTTTTTAAAATAAAATTGTAAATAATTATTTAAAAAAAAACATTAAAAAAAAGTCTGATTACTCAATTTCCCTTTATATATGCATTTTCATAATATTTCATTTGATCTTGAAAGGTAAAATAAAAAGTAGGTTAATCTTTTAACTCATATAATGTGGTTTCGTTTTTAGAAATATCAAGCTTAATCTCTATTTTTTTTAAGTCTTATAAAAGGTTTTGATGGTTTAAATTTCTATTGTCTTTGGTCATTCATCCATATAAAAAGATTTATTTATCTTTTCTAATTTATTTTGGTTTTTCTTTTCTTAAATTACTTAATAATAATAATATAATAATAATAATAATAATAATAATAAATAAAAAATAAAAATAAAAATAAAAATAAAAACCTTAACCCCTTTCACACGAGTTGCATCTCCTTTCACACTCACTCACCTTCGCCCCTTCCTCTTCTCCACAACCTCCATAGTTTTTTTGTTTTCATGCACATCCGATCCCCATCTTCACCATCGTCGGCAAATCAAACTGAGGAAAGGAGAAACTCCGACTCATCGTCAGTTGTCGACAGGAATCCATCACCGGAAAATTAGCGTTGCCGCCACTGTGTGTTAATAACATATCCAATCTTCAGTTTTTCATTTGCAATATTTAGAGAAAATCAAAATCAACAATCGTTACCAAAGGATGCTTCATTACTTCTAGTAGCGAGTGTAATCACAGAACTAGGGGAAAACGGAACTAGAGGTGGCAAGTGGGGTCAGCTAGCAGTAGGGTAAAGTTCTTCCGACGATTAATAATAGAGGATGGTTCTCGAAAATTAGGGTAGAATGATTTAATAAAATCAACGATTGTATACTTGCTACGGGAAATAGGAGGGGAAGATGGTGAGTTGGTGGTGGTTATACTAAAATGATCGTGGGGATTATGGCTGATTTTGATTTGAAGCTTCAAAATTGGATGATTGGGAAAAGGAGTTTTATAGCTTCAAATATTGGTTAAATGGATTCAATAATTTTTTGTTTTTCCTTTTCTTCATAATGCAAACCCCTCCATTACCATCAACTCTTCCTCTACATCGTGATCAACTACCCATTAGGATATGGTGGTCAGAGATCAGAGGGCGTTGGGAGCTCAATCTCAGGTCCAATCTACCTTCATGATGCGTCATTAGCTATAATTATTGCCAATTGTGGGAAATCTGATTTTGCGAATTATTTGCAAAATGTTAAGTAGAAGCTCAATTTGAGTATAGGTTTGGTGTTACAAGGTCAAATACACAAGGAGATTGGTGGTCGGTAGTTTTCCGATGGTTGGTGCTTGTGGTGGGGTAATGTTGTGGTGTTGGTGGTGATAAAAGAAGAGGGATACGGGTGTGGCAGAATTATTAAATGATTTTTTTAAATATAATTAATAATAATATTAATCAAAAATAAATGAATAAGGCAAACTATATATTTTATGTCTGTAAACGATTTTAGGACACTATATACATTATAACCACCAGGGCTGTTATGAGACCGAAAACAAAAAATTAAGATTAAACGAAAAATACAAGAACTATTTATGAAGGATAGTCTAAAAAATATTTACTTTTAAGTGGAAGAAGAAATAAAAGCTTAAAGCAATAAAGTTGATATATCGTATTATGCTGGTGGTTTGAAAGTCATACTGAAATTCTTCTTCCATGAATATGCAGTGGGATACCTAAAGAACGAACATATTTGGAACACGTGGTTTAAATGGCTAAAACCCGGAATCATGGAGGATAGCCCATTTGAAAGAATTGCTAGGGTAAAAATTATCGGTCTTCCAATCTACGTGAGATCGGAGGAGAATGTTAAATTGGTATTAAGTAACCTTGGAAACATCATTGAAGTTGATGGCAGTCAGAATTGGCACAGTATCAATCTCTCGTGCGCCTTTGCTAGAATCTTTACCGGAGAAAAATTACCAATCAACAAGGTAGTCAACTACTTACTCAATGGGAAATCATACACTGTTGGCGTGGCTGAATGTGAGGACGTATGGCAACCTTTCTCCAAATATTATGAATCCGACTTAGAGGAATCAACGACGAGGAGGATCACGAACTCTCTGATTCAGAAGTCGATGGTATATCAGAAACGTGGGGCCATAATAACGAACAAGAAGTAGAAGAGGGAGAAATAATTATGGAATCTGAATTGATCGTAGAAATTGGTGATGCGAGGATGATCGGTGACGAATCGCCGGTGCCGGCAGTCGCAGAAAACACGAGGAACATCGAAACGGAAATCCCTACGTTTAATGCGAGAGGTGAAAATTCATCTGGGAAATTGAACTCTGCTTCAAACCAGCACTCCAATTTGAATATTAATGCAGATTCAATCGATGCACCAGAGGCTAGCTTTGGCCCACAACCTGATGGACAACTTCAAAATATATTAATTGGGCCTTCCCTTATTAATTTGCCCCAAACTCCATTAGGCCCACCATCTAGTAATCCGGGGAGTATCATGGAGGCAGATATTTTTGATGCTGGAGGGTCAAAGACCAAGAAAAGAAAGCTTGACAGAGTTGATCGTGGTGCGCTATTTAGCTCCCTTCCTGCTCGCAGTCTATTTCCGGAATTTGAAACCCGCCCACCCAACTGCTACATATGCCCCGATCCCACCATTAATTCTCAATCAAACTCCCACCTTTGACCTAAACATCTCCATTGCTGACCCTTCACACTCTAAAGTCGGCGAGTGCTCTTCCTCAACTGAGGTCAACAGTTTAATTAAGATTGGGAACGATGTCGGATTTCAGATCAATGAAGATTGTATTGGAATGTTGGATGGGAATGCTCCCAACATGGTTGGAGGTAACGGGGCTACATCTGGTTTCCAATGAATGCCCTAAGCCTAAATATAAGGAGGGGGTGGGTGAATCCCACAAGGTAGATTGGATCAGAAAACTAAAACATGTTCACAGGATTGACTTCATTGGTATTCAAGAGACAAGAGTTGCAGACTTTAACCAAATTGACTTTGTAGGATGTTGTGGTGCAACCGATTTTGATTATGTCGCAGTTAACCGAACGGGTATGTCGGGTGGTTTATTCTGTTTATGGGATACAACTATCTTCTCAAAAATCAACAATATCACTTCGAGGCACTACATAGCAATATCAGGACATTGGAAGGGTGTATCAGGTATAACAACATTTGTGAATGTTTATGGCCCTCAAGCTGTCACAGACAAACGAACACTTTGGGCTGAACTGACATCATTAAAAAAACGGGAATTCAGGCACATGGATATTCATCGGTGACTTTAATGCAATCAGATATGAACATGAAAGGTTCAATTCGGTATTTTGCAAACTCACTGCTGTGGATTTTAATCGATTCATCGTAGATGTCGACCTCCATGAATTTAATATGGGTGGAATGAAATTTACTTACCTCAGAGACGATGGGCATAAACATAGAGTTCCTCTTTTGTAGATTCTTAATACATGATGTGATAAGATTACATTTTGATGTTTTGTAGGATAAAAGAAAATAGTCCATATGTTTCTACTTCCAAGAGAAGGGGCATTGGTTACGAAGCTGCCCTGACTACCTGAGAGATCTAAGAGATGGGAGAGTCAAGATGTATGACTCTGCTTCAGAAAAAATCCACTATCTAACTCTATTAAGTTCCTATTTGTAGATTCTTAATACATGATGTGATAAGTTTACATTTTGATGTTCTGTAGGATCAAAGAAAAGAAGCGTGGTGAGTCTAATCATGAAGAAATGGATTTCGATCGCATGGTTCGATGATCGGATTTTTGAGATGCTACTTAGAGAGTTATGATAGATTTCTTAGGAATATGTAATGGCATAGTTTCCATTTAAATTGTGTTGTAAGGACAAGTTTTTTCGCGCTTTATAAATAAATGAAATTTTGAATTTTGTCTTATTTATTTATCATTGCAATGTCATTTGTGAAAATTAATGGTTGTTTCTATTATAAGCAATATTGAAATGGATGTGATTCTTTATTATGTTATTTGTGGTAGTGTCGAGAATCTACCAAATTGAGGAAGGATTCTCATCGCCCAAGTTTCAATTGGACAGAAACTTGGAATCATGCAACTGGTATTGTATGATGAATGAAAACCTTCGTATTTGTGAAATTGAGACTAATTCCTTGTTCACATAAGTATGTGAGTCAAGTGAAGGACCAGGGGATCTAGTACACATTGATGTGCACTGGTCAAGTCCACCACAAAGAACAATAAGACTATTCGTCATGGTTTACTAAAATTTTAGTAAATATGGTTATGCTTACAAGATTTAGTGTGATTCTGAATCATTGGAAAAGTTCCAATGAATAGTAGAACGAATAAGAAGAATCAATTAGGAAGAAAGATAAAAGTTTCTCCAATCTGAAAAGAATGGAGAGTACTTAAGTATCATGTTTAATGATCATTATGAAACCGTATCACAATTGATCCTCTAAGGACACCTTAGTGCATAAGTATGACTAAGAAAATGAATCAGGAATTATTGAAATGGTTAAATCAAAAGGATGAGTTATACTTCGTTCCAAAAGCGAGTCTTAGAGTAATACTCCAAGATTGTGACTTGAGTGACATAATCTTAAGAAAAGGATGAAGAACACTCATCAAATGTGGAGTAGAAAAGTTCTTACTCTTGTACGTTTAAAATTGGTAAATTGTGATGTCTTGGATAAGACAAAGACCAACTAGAACCAATTGTGTGAAGTGTTTGTCTTGATAAGGAATTCGCACTAACCCTTGAATATTTGTTTTGTCAAGGAATGTTTCTTGACAAAAGAATCTTATATGTCAAGAGGTCAGTGGGAGTCTTAAAGATCTTGAAAAGTTTCAAGAACTAATCAAGAGTAAACCTATTGTTAATCACTAGTCGACAAAATTTTGTTTCTATGCCATTCCAGTAAAGTTACTTATGCATATGAGTTCTACGAGTTCTCAATTAACTGCATAAAGGCAATCACCTTGTTCAATGAAAGTGCATTGACTAGTATAGGTGAGCTGCTAAATAACTTGGAAGCAATGGTGGGCCCCTTGATGGCAAGACATTAAAAATGAATAAGTTCTGTCCATAAGAGTTTGGATTTGTCACAAACATTATCTTATGATTATGGTTATAACAAATTCACATGGATAGGAGCACTTACACCATAAAATCTAAGTGTCATAAGGTTTCTATCCGGTTCATGAAAATGATTGTGAGGAAACGCTTTCACTAAGAGAGATTTTAAGGAGATAGCAATTGTGATATTTGCGTTCTCAAATTCGATTATGATTACGGCATCCCTCTTCATAGTTCGAAGTGTGAGATTTGGCAATTTGTCTAAACATTTAGGAATTATTGCTATAAGTTCTGAATTGGTTTAGACATACATATGAGCTATGTAAGGAAAGTTAGTGGGAGCATGATCATTATGTTAAGTGTTGCAAGTTAGCAATATTAATTATAGAAAACAAAAGTTCCACTTTGCCAAATAGCTCATATGTATGTCTAAACCAATTCAAACTCAAACTCATACACCTTTCCTTACATAGCTCATATGTATGTCTAAACCAATTCAGAACTTATAGCAATAATTCCTAAATGTTTAGACAAATTGCCAAATCTCACACTTCGAACTATGAAGAGGGATGCCGTAATCATAATCGAATTTGAGAACGCAAATATCACAATTGCTATCTCCTTAAAATCTCTCTTAGTGAAAGCGTTTCCTCACAATCATTTTCATGAACCGGATAGAAACCTTATGACACTTAGATTTTATGGTGTAAGTGCTCCTATCCATGTGAATTTGTCATAACCATAATCATAAGATAATTATGTTAAGTGTTGCAAGTTAGTGGGAGCATGATCATTATGTTAAGTGTTGCAAGTTAGCAATATTAATTATAGAAAACAAAAGTTCCACTTTGCAAAGTTGTAGGGGTTGAAAAGTTGTTTTGCTATAATTAAGGGAGAAAATATTATACTTCATTTCAAAATCTAAAAGCTTGGATCGAGAACTTTTAATCAAATTTAGTCAAAGGACATATATGGATGTTATGTTGAAAAGGTTCAACTTAAAAGAATTCTATATATGGCAATATTATAGCAAGAAACTGGTAAAGTATCACGTTTTTCATGAACTGTGTCCCATACGCTTCTGGTATAGGATCGATTGCATATGTTGTAATATTCGACCGTTCTAAATTTTCCAAATGCCTAGGGCATTAAGAGGGAAAAGGACCAGAACCGGATATGACTAAAATAATTAAACAACTCTCAAGGACAATCTAAGGTTCGCCAAGGATTGGTCACTTGTGGGTAGTTGGAAGTATAGTAACGAATGGACCATAATGACATTATTATGATTAGATATGATTCTATTAATAATGAGTTGTCGTATGGCAAATATGGAAATGTTTTCATATTGGAAGTTGGATATCAAGAATCTATGTCTAGATTAGAAACTTTTATGCAAGAAGGATGTTCAAAGGAATGTACTTTGAATGTGAGACTTCATATCTATGGAATTTCCTTGTAACAATCTCCAATAGAGCACTTTGTAATATCATTGGCAAAGTCTTGGTGGCTTTGGTGCTGTGACATTACGAAAGGATCGTTGCATAAAATGTTAGAATCTAACATATTCTACTAGTGGCAAGAATTTGGTATTCTTACACTTATGACAAGGATTAGGAGTTGTGAAATGAGTATCATTGGAAATGTATTCAATTGATCTATTTCACAAATTATGGACCATAGGTAAACATAGTGTGCATGATTGGAGCATGGGACAACTGTTGTTATAATTCAAGTAATAAGTTGATTATCCGAAACATTATACAATGAATAATGAGTAATCAATATGGTGATTAAATAAATGTGTTTTATTTACACTCAAAAGTTCGGGGCCATATAGGATTAGTATTATTCTTGTGTTTCACTTTGCATGTTTTGACTTCCCGAATAATAAGATTATTCAAACCATCCACAGTCGATAAATACTTTGGAAGTAGGTATTGAAGCTAGACTGTCATGAATCCGACTGTAGATTGTCTAAACCATTTAGACATAGCAAAAGTCTGCTGCAGTGTTCATGAGTACTCCTGAAATAAGATTTGAGTATTGGATTAAACCCACGCT